ACGAAGTATTTGTACTTCATTACTTCCCATCTCTGATGAAGGTGGACTACATTTTCTTATTAGAAAACATTTAACATCTACGTTCTCATGTGTGAAATGGGGACAGAATATCACATCACCAAACTTTTGAGACTTAACTGACTTAATTGTTTTCCTTCTGCTTGAGAACAATGTCATGCATTGTGTGGGTCATCTGCATCATTTCCCTATAAAGGTTTCAAGTTTGTAGTTCTACTGTAACAAAATCTAACAAAAGGCTCTAGATGCATATATCATTTTGCATGGTATAGATAATAGAGATCAGATTACACATAGATTCAGATTTTGTCATATGTAAGAACGTAGAGATCAGCCTTAGTTTGTTCGGTTGTTGGATAAAAATGAGACAATTTTGGATAATTAGAGTCCTGAGGTTTCAGTAGCCACATATCACCAGCCAGCAGAAGCTCAGGCTGATCTAATGGGAAACATTTGAACACCTTCACAGTGAAGGTGAAGGAAAGAAGAAAAAGGAAAAAAATAAACCAATGCACAGTGATAATAGCTATAAATTTTACAGCCTAATGGCTGAATGGCCTTTGTACCCTTAACATACGTTTCTCTCACAGAACTAAAGTTTCCAATGGGCATGACTCACTAAAGTACTTTGCTTTCAATTTAATTTAATGAGGTAGATCATTAATAATTATTAGTTTTCCAAGGGGGTCGACATCAGATACACTTTATGATTTAAAGATCAGTTAAAAAAAAACAGTTTAGCATGTTGTGTGAAAAGTACGATAGAAATCCTCCTGCATCAACAAGTTCAGATCTTCTTTGCTGTTAATGTTCTTAATAAAGATGTGGGATGCATGCTTTTTTTGTGTTCTTGTTTTTTCAGGCAAATTTCTCTAAGATTGGCTACAATCAAAAATTGACAAATTTAGTCTTTTTAGAGCCTTTGTTAAACCCAATAACTTTTTAAATTTTATGAGTAAAGCTAAGATAAAGGTTGTGGACCTTTGTGTTGTTTGTACATAAATTAAAATTGTATCCCTTCATTTACAGATGGATCTAGAGCTGTTACATCAGTCTAAAAAGAGGCAGCACATTTTTCTCCCTACATTTCCCTTCATTTTATCAAATTTAATAATAATTTGAGCTCAAAAGAACAGTAATTATGTAACTGTTCATAATTTGAATAAGACAAAAGCTTGACTGTCATCCAACAAACATAATTAGTTGGTAAAAGCCACTAACTCTAGTAATTATCATATAACATTGAAACAACTGTGGTATAAATTTGCTGTTTAAATTGCAGAAATGCTAAGAAATTGTCCTAAATAATAAGCCTATCTATCAAGGTTGGATCTATGTTTCAATAAGATTTTCACACCATACATTTATGATATGGATGTCTAGCCGAGTCCCTAAGTCCATTGATGTAAATGTTATCACTATTTTTACTTTTACTCACTTATAGATATTAAATATGACAAGCCTCCACCAATTAGTCCCTCTAAAAGCTTGCAGGAATGGAGCTACTGCCATCTCTTTCTGTGTTTCATTAAGCTGAAAGCCCTGATGTCTACCCCAGCTGTACCCTCTCTTCTGCAGCTCTGACATTCATTTCTAAAATGGATTAATAGGACAGCCGAGGACCTATCTCATTATTGATCCCTCCAGAGTCACCACAGTGCTGCTTCCAAGCCAGGAGGATGTTTAATCCAAGATTCTATCAGTTTCCATGAGTCGTGCAATTTCTTCTCTCTACCTGGCCCCTCAGAGGTAATAAATATCACTTCTACAGTCAAAATAACAGTGGTGGAGATGGCAGACAGTAGCATTAATCAAAACCAGGGCATGATGGATGGTTGGAGAGGATACACACACACAATACAAAAAAGTCACAGAATTAGAAATTTTATATACAAACTTAGTTGTGTGGTTGAAAAAGGAGTTGGCCTTTAAATAAAAAAGGTTCAGTTGAATTGTTTAATTCACTTATATTTAACAAAATAAAGATAAAACATTTAGTCTTAAATAGATCATACAAGTAGACTGATTACAGACTGGGTTAAGTCATAGATCAAAATAATCTTGTTTATGTAATTTCTTAAAAACATAAAGGAAGTCTGAAATTAGAGGCAAATGGAGATTTAAAAGTCTTTCTTACAGTTTTACCTTGTTTTCTTTGCAGTTGTAGAAGTGGATGTGTTTGCTGCTCCGCTGCAGCCTGTAGAACCAGCCTGTAAAACCAGTCTGCTGCCTGATATAAAGGCTTGCTGTCAGACACCCCCCTCCTTTCTCTCCTCACAGCCTTGGCTGACGTTTCCTAGCCTCTGATTGGCTCATCCCACCAGCACTCTGTTGCTGCATTCACATGCTGTAGGAAATTTCAATACGAGGCAAATCTTGAGAAAATGATTTCAGATTTAGTTTAGAATATTCAACAAAATGTATTTGAATAGATGAAAAGGAAAATGCATCATAATAAAAATAACTGAATGTATTTTTATTGTTTTAGTATGCATTTAAAATTATAGCTTTTTGTTTTGCTTCTCCACACTGATATATATATTTATATCTCTTGAAAATAACTCATATTTAAAAAAAATGCATTTCATTATTACAGGAGAATTGAAACCAAAATAAAAAGTCAGTTTTATTAACTTGTGTCAAATTGGTTAATTTATATATTATATGTTTAAAAACAATGGTACAGTTTGGGAATCCATTTATTTTAATGTTGACAACAATTAGACAACTTTTGTCATGTTGTATACACAGAGCGTATACAATTTGAAATTTCCTTTATACAGCTTTCATGACATTTCTTTTCCTTAAATGCAGCAGTGATAAAATGTGAACAGTGTGGGAGAATAAAAAACCTGGTGCAAAAAAACTCATTGATATGGAAGTTCAGAGCATTAAATGTGTTATGTTGATATGTTAAAGTTTAGTTTCTAAAAAGTATTTTAAAAATGATAAAACACAAAGATAAGAGTTCAGAAAATCAGGGTCTGCAGGGCAAACCAAACTTTTTTTTTTTATGTTTTGGCAGGCCTGCTAATGATCAACTGTCCATATGAGAGCAGCCTGGTAGATGTCTGCACGCTGCTGCAGGAGCATAACCAGCCCCATTAAACACAGCAAAACAAAAGAACTTCCCACATCTTCACAGACTGGTAGTTTTTCACCAGAGCTTGGATTTCATGCTTATGCACGTTTTCCTTCCACCTGAAAAGGTTTCTTCTTATGGAGGTTGATACCATTTGACAGCAATCTCCCCCCAGGATTAATACAGGAATGAATAACTCAAATTTAATGTTTTTTAATGCTCTTAGAAATAATTTTAATGCCACCAACAGGTACCTGTTGACAGGCTGCAGCCATGTCCCGAATTCTTTCGTTTTCCAACCACTTTTGTTGAAATTTGCTTTTCCCCCCCATTCTCTAGCTTTTTCTCCGCCTCAAGCTTCTTTTCTGAACATACAGCTTTGCGATCAACCGGAAGCAGTTGTTCCACTCAAATATATCGAGATATGTACTGAATGTATTGAATTTTAATGGCAATTAAGGTCTTAATTTAAAAAACAATTTAATGACTTAATTTTTAATGACCTGCGTAAACCCTGACATTTCTGTGATATAAATCAATTTTTCAAAAAATATCTAATTTTAAGAATAAACTGAAATTTAGGATGAATTATCTTTTAACATGAGCATTACAAATTGCCAAAATAAACAACTGAAACTAGTATAAAAGTTTATATTTACATGCACCTTTTTAGATTGTAATCAGTTGCAATGTTAATGTTCCGAATTGGCTTGTTTGTTGCCAGATTTCACCATTTTGTCATACAAAATGTGAAATAACACTGAAGTTGCCTTTCCAAGATCTTTAATAACTCACTTATGATTTTACCAGTCTAGATACCTAATATTTTTGACAAATTTTAAAATTCGAAGGAATGTTGGAGTACATCAAGATCCCCCATGATGTAAAATTGGTACTCATTTGTTTACTTTGCAAGCATTTAAGCAAAAAACCTTCCTTTTGCAATGAATGTGAAACCAAAGTCAGGTTATTACAGGACACCAGGGTAGAGAAGCTGTTACATCACAGGCTGCCAGTAGGTAAGAAATGTCTGGATGGTTTATATAAGATTGTCAAGAGAAGGCTGAAATTAAAAAAGGTTCCATTGGGAAGAGAGTATAAAATTATATTCTACGCTTTTTTTTTTTAAGTGCACATACAGCAATCTCTTTAGCTGCTTTTCTGTTGTTCACCAACGCCCTCTGCTGGCTTAATCTTCCAACGACAAGTTAGAGGAATACATCTTAATCCCCAAATAAAAATTGTGTAGTGTGTGCAGCACACAACGTTACATCTACGAACCTCACTCAAACTATTTAAGCAAAGCATGTAGTTTTTATTGCGTACAAAACAAGTGCAAAAATACCCTTCAGGAAAATTACAGCTACAGCATACAAATCAAAAAGCAGTACATGGAAGCACTCTTTAAAAGATTGCGCAGTAGAAAGGGTTGCAAAATGTTGCCTTAAGATTCACAGCATTTCATAAGTGCAAGCTGCTGAAACAGATGGCAAATTGATCAGCAATCTCCCTTTGATGCCAAGCACAGGGATTAGATTTTACAGGCATTTGAAACTGAATCAAACACTAAATACAGAACTTTGGTCCAGAAGGTAATCACTTCTTCCTAGGCTTCACTAGACGTAGACTTATGAGACGACGGTAAAAGAGACATTGTTTGAGAAACGGAGCTAAATTTATCACATTAGTAATGGGAGTAATTTAGTGATACAACCAGTGATGCATGCAATCAGAGCACCTAGTGCATCTGTCATTGTCCTACAGAAGAGACCAGAGCTGTGGGAGGAGGCTATGCTAAGGAAAACTTCACCTAACAGGAACGTGTGATAAATACCGAACCAATAACAAGCCTCGCTGACTAAGGCATCTTAGGTTGTGGTGCAAAACAACATTTAAAAAAAAGGCACAGTTTGTGGATTCAGGGCGGTTATAACAGAAACCCCTAAATGTTGCACAAACACACCAACCTATCACCAAGTAAGCCTAGAGTTTAATTCACCGACCACACCCCCTGACAAACACCGGTTTGCATCTACAGGATGGCACACTTTTGCTTCTTCTTCTTCTCTGGTTCTTTCTTAGGTGGCTCCACTTCCTTGCGTCCATAGTAGCTGGAAAAGCAAGCTGCAGCACAGATGGGCTCCCTGAGGCTGAGCATCCACCTCCCTTCGCCATAATACCGCAGCGAGCCGAGCTCCATCTCCTCCACTACCTCCCCCTCTGGTAGGGTTAGGATCTGGAGAAGATCGAGGCCCGTTTGAACTGGCTCGACACCCTCTGCGCAGCCCAGTGTGATGTGGGCGCGGCTTCCGGCAGGCAGGGACGCAGATCCGGGGATGCTCGCCTCCGACTCCTTCTCCGTATCCGCTGGCCAAAGCTGGAGCTGCTCTTCAGTGAGACACACTCTGGCCCCAAAGGTGCGAGGTGTGACGAAGAGGGCGGTCAGCGACAGCTCAGAGACAGAACCGTAGGACTTCTTAACCACCTAGAAAATTTGCAGGAAAAAATACAGAAAATTACATTTAACACAAAATAAAAATCTCTCTGTTATTATTAGAAGGGAACAATCCTTACTGGATTTCCTGCATACTCAGTCGCACCATCGGCTTTGCCATAGTTGCAGAACTTTGTGGTGCAGTGGAAAGATCCTTTTGCTTCAAAGTACTGCTCCAGGTCCACCTCCTTCTCAGCTTGTCCTGTAACTGGAATTAAAAGCAAAGGGTCACATTTTTCAGTAATAAAAATATGAAATCCTCCTAGTCACTGAAAGACACTCACAGTCAGCTGTGTTTTTTTTGAAGGCTTCCAAGGTGTCCAGTGTTTTTAGGAAGTCCATAGAACTGCAACCAACCTTGACCTGTACTGGAGAGAGAAGAAACCAGCCAAAGAAAAGAGGAATTGTGGTTTCCTCCAGGGGACCCTTCATTCCTTCCAGGTGGGCCTCCTCCAGCCCACGTTTGCTTTTCTTCTTCAGCTGACTTGGGTCTCTGCTCCATTCGGTTTGCGGCTCCAAGTACAGGGCAGTAAGAGTGTGCTCCTCAGCAATCTCAGCCATGCGGGCGAGCCGGTCGTGGGTGTGATTGGTGTCATCAACCACTATCAGCAGAGGGGAGGTCGCCCCCTCAGAGCAGCGAGCTACTATGGCATCATCCAGAGCTTTGTATCCTTCAGCTGAAGGCTTTTCAGGCTTTATGCTGTAGTCATCAGCACAGAGAGCAGAACACTGGTCTTTGTACATTTCTGCAATAGCTCGTGCCAAGAAGCTTTTACCGCTTCCAGGAAGGCCCCTGAGGACAATAAGTGTGCGAGAAATTCGTACGGCATCTTTGGTTTGGTCGTGTTCCAGTAGGGGGAAAGAAAGGGAATTGGGTGCAGGGGTCTGATCCTCCTCTTTTTGGGGCTCAGCTTCTTCACCTTCTTTTGGCGATTCCTCAGGATTAACAGATTCTGATTTATCCAGGTTTGCTTCTTTTGGATTATCTTCAGCACCTCCACCTGATGGTTCCTTTTCCGCTGTAACTGCTTCAGATGATTTCTCAGGTGAAGCCTTGGTCACAACCACAGTTTCTGTGACTGCTTCCTTTTCGCTCTTCACCTCCACAGTAGACGGCATTTCATTCTCAGTCTTTGTTTGTTCTGGTTCCGTCTCTTGCCTAAGGGCCTGCGTTTCAACTTGCTTCTCAACGACTGGTTCGGGCACAGATTCCGCCGGCTTCACGGGCTCCGGCACAGATTCCGCCGGCTTCACGGGCTCCGGCACAGATTCCGCCGGCTTCACGGGCTCCGGCACAGATTCCGCCGGCTTCACGGGCTCCGGCACAGATTCCGCCGGCTTCACGGGCTCCGGCACAGATTCCGCCGGCTTCTCCGGCTCCGGCACAGATTCCGCCGGCTTCTCCGGCTCCGATTCCGCTGGCTTCTCCGGCTCCGATTCCGCCGGCTTCTCTGGGATATTCTCTGGCGCCGGCTGCTCTGTGCTTGCTGGTTTTGGCTCTAAACCTACAGCTGGGACCTTTTCAGATGACTCTGCAGATTCGGCTGTATGGGGCACTGGCTCCTCTTCTGTTTTTTTCACATCCCCTTCAACCACATCTTTATTTTCCTGTGTCATGTTTCCTGCCACAGCTGGCTCTTCTGCGACTTGTGTGCTCTCCACTTCTGCAGCATGACCGTTTACCGCCAGCTGGTCAGTTTCTTCCACAGCAGCTGGCGGGTTCTCAGGCTCAGTGGGCGCTACCATTGCCTCTACTTTTTCCCTTTGTTCAGTCATACTCTCCTCTTGGTTTTGAGTTTCTGGCACCTCGCTCTGGTCTGTATCCATGATTTAAAGTTCAATTTTGCACACCAACGGATACCTTAAAGGAAAAACAAAAGACAGCATTTAAATTTAGAGAATATACCAGAAATGTTTGAATTTAGACAAATTATATCCAGGAAAACAGGATAAAAACTGAATATGTTGTTGATTTTACTTCCATATGCACTTTTAATGGCAAAAATTAAGTTAATTAATATCAGAGGTTTACAAGCAAAGTGAAAAAATGAAGATCTGTCTGGAAACAGTGCAGCTACGTAGGATCTCTTGTTTTAGTGCTGCCTTTTATAGTTCAGAGTTTTGCAACCTTGTGAATATAGAAGTGAAAGCACCAAGTAAGCTATTCAAATTTATATTTACATGTATGTGTGCAGGACAGTAAACTGTTATTCAAAGCGTTCAGGGAAACAAGCTTGACTTTATCCTGAGTAAGCATAGAGAAATATAGGCCAACTGAATACAGCAAAGCAGACAAAGGCTAATTGAAAACGGGGGATTGGTCCTATTAACAACAAATTGAGAGAAGTTTAGCTCCAAAGGAGACGATTTATTAAACTGAACTGAGTCAATAAATGAGGAAGAGATCAACTGAACCGAATGAAGCAATAAAGCAATTGCCCAATATCAATATCCCCATTTTCACTGCTTAGAAACAGCAACTGAAACTACGTAGGAAAAAAAAAAATCAGAGTTTTAAAGGAAATTCATTGTGCAGTTTATGTTTTTAGAGCAACAAAAATGGCTAAAAGTAACCCCCCACCGACATACAGTACCATATGTTTGAGCATAACTGGGATTTGTTAAAACCAATGGTTGAAAAACGATGTCAAAGAGGTAACGGATGGTTATCTGAAGCAGAAAACACTGATAGGTTGTGGATTAAAGATGGCACGTTTAGGTTCAGGCACGCGGGGAGTGGCGTTCGCTCACATTAGCACGCCAGACAAAAACTGAACCCCCCCCCCCTTAATTAATTTGGCTGCATCATCTGCAGCCTCGCCAACGTGTCTGAAGAGATACAAAAAAACGGCAAACTAAACAAATATAAGTTAAATGGTAACAGAAGGCGTCAACTTTACTAACGGAAAACGAAAGTTAGCTTTTTTTTTTTAAAGTAGAGCTAGCATGGCAGCTTACCAGAAAGGCTGCAGTGAAGCCAACGGTGCTGCTGACCACGCGTTCCCCTCTGAGCACAATGACTCACAACAGCGACACACCGGGACACCAGCACGCTCCTCTGTTCAAGGGAGGAGGCGAAAAAAAAGAGAAGGAGCGGAAACTCCCCGGGAGCGCGCAAATGGGCGGGGCTAATGACACGCCCCTGCAGACCGGAAGAAGGAGAGTTTTTTGTTGTTAGGAAGAAAGAGCTAAACCAGAGGTCTTGACTTTAATTCCTTACAAATAATTCAGTTTGGTTTATATATCAATGAAAAAAAGTGGAATTCTTAGTTAATGCTTTGATGATTATAACCAAATATTATATCCATAAATGTCGTTATGCAAAATGCTCACTCTCATTCTCTGCTATCAAAAACAAACTTTCCTCCTTTAACGGATGTCTGAAAAATACGGAAGAGGATTAGGGCCACTGGAAAAAAAAAAAAAAGTTAACTGATTTTTTTTTTTTTTTTCAGTATATATATATTTCAGAATTCTGACTTTTTTCTCAGAATTCTGACTGAATTCTGACAATAAAAAAAGTCAGAATTCTGAGA